GACCGAGGAGGCTGGCCGCCTCCCGAGACTGGCTCAGAGAGGTGCAGCGACCCGTCCCAGGCCACACAGCCTCCGCGCTGGTGGGACCTAGCTTCTTGTCCCCCAGTACGTACGGGTCGGACTGGGAAAGGGGGCGCTCTACGACTTCGGCAGGGGCCCCTGGAGGTACAGGGACTCCCCAGAGCTCGGGCTGCAGACGCTGCCCCCTTGGGTGGCCGTGGCTGTCGTCTGGGGTGGCGATTTCACGTTGCCCCTGGCATGAAGGTTAAGAGGTTCGCGTTTTGGCTGAGAAATGGGAGAAAGTTCGTTTTCCTAGGCAGGGCGTGGTGGTGGGGGAGGAAGTGTTTGTTTGGCTTCCACATTTTTCTTGGAGTTCACTTACAGAGCTTCTCGGGGATTGACACGGGAGGAGGTGACTTCACTGGCTGCTAAGGAGACTTTCCCAGGAGCTGGCTCCCTAGGGAATCTTTCCAGACCTGCCAGGTTCCGGTGAGCCCTGCAAGGCTGTGGGTTCAGGGGGGCTGCCTCCTGCTGCCCCAGCTCAGCCGCTTGGTCCGGCTCGGCCTTTCCGGGGTGCTTTGCAAGCAGCCCTCCTTCAGGAGTTCCCAGAATCAGGTCTCCAGGGGTGCACTGCTCCTCTGAGATCAGTTTGAGAAGTAAGACAACACGCTGGCTTCGAGCAATGGGGTTCCCTCCCCTGGACCTTGTGAAGTTGGAACCCAGCAGACTTTTGCGCTGATGGACACCTTTTAGAATACCAGCTCTCAGCCAGAGGGCGATCTGTGTCCCCTCGGAGCCATTCAGCATTGTCCAGAGGCATTTGGGCCTTGTCACATCCAGGGGCAGGCAGTGTTGCTGGAACCTATTGGGTAGGGGCTAGGGACGCTGCCCCCCATACAGATCAGGCCCCCACACACAGCATGACACAGCCCTAAAGGAGAGATCCTGCCTTAGAAGGACCAGAGGCCCTTCGCTGAAGGGTTTTAAACAGAGTTTGACTGAATTAGCCCTGGGATCTCACCACTGTCGCGTGAAACGGAACCCCCACGCTGGGAGACACAGCGACTGACTTGTGGTTCCAGATCAGCTGGCCTCCAGGCCTCAGCCCACCATCCTGAAGGACCTTGTTTTAGGAAAAGCCTTGGATTGTGTCCCACGTTGTTGGCTTTTTTTCAGGAGAAATCTCTAGCCGCAGAAAGCAGCACGGATTTGCAAGACCAACACCGTCTACCCAAGCATGTCAAACTCACGGCCAGCGGGCCACAGGCCTCATTGAAATAAAGGGCACTTTCCCAAACACCACCTTTCCCAGGTCTAAAGAATGAGAAGCCAGTGTCGGCTCGGATGCCAGGGTCGACGGTGGTTGGCTGGCGAGCACACTGCCAGGCGCAGCTCCTGGCCCTCAGGGAAAGTGCATCTGGTCCCAGCAGGTCCTCTGGGCCTTTGGGTGAAGATGCTAACGGGGACCTGGATGAGGGCTCTACAGGCCCGAGGAAAACAAACATGTGGATTGTGTATTTCCCAGGTGCTCTTCCACACTCAGCACACGCCAGGTGGGGGCCCCAGGGATCAGCTGGGAGCTGGACGGAAAGACTCTGTCCTAAACGAGGCCACATCCAGTGCGGCAGCGAGACGGGACCCATAGGGTTCAGGGCCACTGCACGCCGAGTCAGTGCTGGAGTTAGAGGGTAGCAGCTCTCCCCTCGGGTGACTGTGTGCTCTGACACAGTGTAGGGCTCAGGATCGTTGCATATGCTGTGCACTGAGGCCAGCACTGCACAGGGGAGCTCAGGGTCTTTGCACCCTCCTGTGGGTGCAGGAGGCAGACACGACACATCACATACGAAGCAAGGGTCTTCCTGTTCGAGATGGTACATGTCCATTCCCGGCATCACTGCATACTCTGTTGGGTGCTGGAGTCGGGCAGAATATGTAAGATCTGTGGTCAGTACACATTCAGGTCAGTGCTGGAACTGGACATCCATGAGACCCAGGGTCATTGCATGCTCCAGAAGGTATAGTTGCATACCCAGGGTCAATGCACGCTCTGTGCATGTCTGGGGCCAAACATTGCACTCAGGAATCCAGTTGGAAGGCACTTGTTGGTGCTGGAGTCGGACCCATGGTCACTACTCCAGTCAGTGCACCTTCGAAGCTAGGGTCTCAGGCCACTCTCATTAGTGCTGGAGTCATATAGTAGATGGCAAGTCCCCGAGATCCTTGCCGGCTGTGGTCAGTCCTGCAGTTGGACAGTCCATGTAGGAATCCAGGGTGCATGAACTCTGATCATTGTCTGCGCCAGACAGAGCACAGTGGACTCCTAGGGTCAGTGCTGAGGGAACCCATGTGTCTTTTGATAAGCCAAACTTCTCCTGAAGTTGTAATGAAGTCCAGTTTATCAGTGACTTCTTTGATGCATTGGGATTGTGCTTTTATTACTTTATTCTTGAAATCTTTGCCTAACACAAGTTTGCAGAGCCTTTCTCCTATGTTTTCTTCTAGTGCTTTTATAGTTTTACATTTAGTGTCTGACCCACATTGAATCCATCTTAGCGTTCGATGTGCGGTAAGGGTCTAAAAATAAATTCATCTTTTTGCGTGTGTGTGTCGGGTTGTCTCAGAGAGGATTTTGAGAAATGCCTAGCCCGGAGTTTTCCCTTTTGCCTGTTTCTTTCTAGTGTCCATAGTTCTGCTCGGTTGGAATTGTACTGCCTTTGCTGCTGGTGGTCTGGGCACTTGTTGCCTTGTGATCAGGTCCCGTGGTTATGGACGAGCTTTTGTGATTTTCGGTGGAAAGCTGCAGAACACGAGGAGGCAGGAACGCGGGTGGGGAGGCCTGGGACTCAGGCCAAAAGGCACCCAGGGCCCTCTCCTCTCTGGCTGTGTGACCTGGTGCACATTCTTTCTCCTTCTGCAAGATCAGCTCTCCCGACTGCAAAGTCAAGCTGAGGATTTTTAAAGAGAGAGGGATGTTTTGATTCCATTGTTCGCGAAGCTTTTCCTGTGTTGGGTCATTCAGTTTGGTTTTAGGGGTTCCTTCTTAAAATTAACTCTGTGGGAAGCTCCTTACTTCTTCCCACTGGGTTCCGGAGTCTGACTGTCTGGGTTCAAATCCTGGTGTCTCACTGATGCGGGCCCATGACTTGGCTGCTCCAGGACTTAATTTCTGACACTGTAAATGGGAGATGCGCACACTTCTCACAGAGCGGCTGTGAGGATGGAGTAGAGTCCTGCCCCTTAGCCTGCAGGTAGAGTACTTCAGACTGTGCGCGTGGCACGTGCAAATGTCCGATGGCAGAGAAAAGGCCAGGGGCCAGAATGCAGAGATCGAAGGTGGGTGTGGCACTGGGTAGATTCAGAGAGGCCAGATGCTTACCCAATGAGAGCTTCAGAAATGAGTTACCCAGTGAGGGCCTCAGAGGTGAGTTACCCAATGAGGGCCTCAGAGGCGAAAAGCCAGTCCATGGTTTTCAGGAGCCCACAGTTTGAGGGGAATACAGATGCATGACGTGACCGTGCTTTCAGGGTCAGGAGTAGGTGGAGTCAGCCTGGGGTGCACCCTGACCCTGCCGGGATGGCAGTGAGGCCCCGGGTGGTCCAACAGCCCTTGGCCTTCACCACAGCTCTCCTCTCCTGCAGGGGCTATTTGATCACGGCGCCCTCTGTCTTCCGCTCGGGGGTGGAGGAAGTCATCAGCGTGACCATCTTTAACTCCCCAAGGGAAGTCGTGGTCCAGGCTCAGTTGGTGGCCCAGGGCGAGGCAGTGGCATGGAGCCAGGGAGCCATGCTGGGTAGGTCTCGGGGTGTCCGATGGGGGCTCCCCCCACCTTCGCACCGTGGAGCCTTTTGCTGGCCTTCAGGGCTTGGGCAGGGTGGGCCTGGCTTTGCTTCCTCCCATCCCACCTCCCTAGAGCCCTGGCAGGGAGGGCGGGCAGGTTGAGTTCTCCCCATTTCTCAGATGAAGAGAGTAAGGCCCCGGAGGGGCAGCCACCTCCCCAGAATGGGGAATCCGAGTCCAGGTTCTTTGGGTGAAGATATGGATGGAGTCAGGCACCCTTTCCTGTCCGCTTTGGCTAGAGGTGGGATGGGGCCCAAATCAGACCTTTTCTTGAGCTTTGCCCCCCGCCCCCACCCCACCCCGTGTGGTGCTGGACCCAGACCTGGGCTCCCAGCTGGGCGGAGCTTAGGCCCTCAGCCAGCCTCCCCCACAGTTTCCTTGGTAAATTGCAGAGAACAAAAGGACAGTTACAGCTGCTGCCTCCTGGCCCTGCCTCAGGGGTTCCCAGTCTGGTAGGGCAGGTGACTCATTGCTCAGATGGAGCATGGGCAGGACGCAGCCACAGGAGACAGGATGTGCTGGGGCTCTAGTGGGGCAGCCCCTGTCCTCTGCGGGGACACGGGGAGGCCGACCAGGAGTGGAAACTAGGAGAAGGGATTGGGTGGGCAGGAGGCGTGCAGGCAGCCCCTGTTCCTCTCCCGAGGTAGTCCCCAAAACCCAACTCGGGTTGGTTTCAGCGGCAGAGTTTTAGGGCCTCTCATAACTGGAAAAGTCCACGGACATTACTGGCCATCTCCTGGCCACACTTCTGGATGGACCCCTGTCTCCTCAAAGCTCAGAGGAAGTGGTGGTGGGGTTCCCAGGATTCCCTCTGAGTGGTGCATCTTGAGTCCTATCCTCAACTCAGACCCAGTCCCTGTGGCCAGGGGCAAGGCCTATGCTGGTTGGCCTATCTTGGGTGATCATGTGCTCAACCCTGAGCCAATCCCTGTGATAAGGGCAAAGGCCTATGTAGATTTGCACAGAGCTCCACCAAATGACATGGACTGGGAGCTGGTCAGGTGGTTCCTACAAGGAAATCAGGGTTTGGCTAGCAAGGAAAGGGGGTTGGGTGGAGAGGTGAGGGGGATTCATTCTGGGAGGCAGGAACAACAGATGTCTAAATAAGCCCCGAAGGCCAGTAAATCCCGAGAGGTGTCAGAATAGCAAATGACTCCATTTGGGTAGAGGAGAGAGGCGATGGGAGACCAGTCAGATTCACTCAAGCAAGGTCCACTGGGAACCTCAGTCTCTTCTTCTTTCTCCTGTTCCTCTTTCCTGGAGTTTCTCTTTGCTCCCCTCACAGCTTACCTTGGGCAGAGGCCAGGGGTGAAGTGAATCAAGTATGCAGGCCGGCCAACTTTCCCCTGAATAGCTCAGCTTTGTCCATTCCCTCCGGCCTTCAACTCTCGCCAGTTTGGCAAGCCCAGCCCAACCCTGCCCAGCCCAGCCCAGCCCAGCCCAGCCCAAGCCAGACCAGTCCAGTGTGACCCAGCGTATATGCTTGTTCACAGAAAATCCCTCTGGCTTGAGAAACCCCTGTTTGTAAGGCTGCAGGCCAGGGAGGTTGGGCAGGAAAACACAGCTTCTCATTTAACCGTTTTAATTTTATTTTCATTTTTTTAGATAAAGGAACAATCAAACTCAAGGTAAGTTATGAACTTTTGAAATCATAAACCCTACCTTGGAAATAAATTGAATTGGATGGAACAAGAAATGTTGCATGTGTTTTGAGAAAAATCACTGAGAAAAACAATGATTGATGAGGAAAAAATTTAGAAAAGGAGAAGTCACCCATAATCCCCTTCCCTATACTTTTCACTTTTACACGTTTTCTGCAAACCCTTGTCTCCTTGAGCACATTTTTTCATAGTTGCAATTAAAGGGTATACACCATGGTGTTTCCTGTTGCTTTCTCTAAACACCTTGTATAAACATATTTTCATGTGTCAAAGTCTCTATAATTGTATTTTGCATCCTGTTGTAAACAGCATCTTATTACATCCCTTTTATGTACAGTTGATTCTTGAACAACGAGGGGGTTACCAGCGCCACTCCCCCCATGCAGTGGGAAATCTCTGTATAACTTTTGACTCTCCCAAAACTTAACTACAGTCATTCTCTTGGTATTTGAAAAGAGTTGGTTTCAGAACTCCCTGCAGATACCAAAATCCGAGGATGCTTAAGTCCTTTATATAAAACTAGAGGCCCGGTACATGAAATTCATGCACTGGGGTGGGGGGTCCCTCAGCCCAGCCTGCACCCTCTCCAATCTAGGACCCCTCAGGGGATGTCCGACTGCCAGTTTAGGTCCGACAGCCCTCTCACAATCCGGAACTACTGGCTCCCAACCGCTTGCCTGCCTGCCTGCCTGCCTGTTTGCCCCTAACCACTTCTGCCTGCTAGCCTGATCACCCCCTAAACACTCTCCTGCCAGCCTGCCTGATGCCTAATTGCTCTCCTACCTGACTGATCACCCCCAACTGCCCTCCCCTGGTGGCCTGGTCGCCCATAACTGCCCTCCCCTGCCGGCCATCTTGTGGCTGTGGGCACCGCCATCTTTGTGATGATGTGAGGGTCAATTAGCATATTCCCTCTTTATTAGATAGGATGGCGTAGAATAATGCATACAGTCAGTCAGCCTTCTGCATCCGTTGATTCCCAACCCCAGATCAAAAATTCTGTTTTCACCCAGTGGTTGGTTGAATCTATGGATGCAAAACCCACAGATATGGAAGGCCAATATTTATTGAAAAAAACCTGCAATTCAAGTGTTCAAAGGTCAACTGTAGTAATTTACGAAGCTCTCGCCTTGTACATATTTAAATCTTTAAAAATTGTTTTAGGGTTTTGTAATGTAACCCAAAGGTTGCGAGCAAATTTGTGTGTAAAGCTATTAGCATGCCAAATGCCTGCTTTTGGCAAACACTCTGAAAAAGAGTTACCAGGTCAGGATCTAGGCCTGTTGCTAGGATCTGCTTTGTTTTATTTTAGTTTTTAAATAACTTATTTATTGATAGATTGAACTTAGAGAGAGAGGAGGGGAGAGAGAGACACACACACACACATCGATTTGTTGTTCCACCCATTTATGCATTCATTGGTTGCTTGTTGTATGTGTCCCGACTGGGGATCGAACCTGCAACCTTTGTGCATTGGGATGATGCTCTAACCAACTGAGCTATCTGGCCAGGGTGGTAGGAGATGCAGCATTGCCTGCCCACAGCACCGCCCGCCATACATTAGAGACCAAATTTCCCACAGCCTTGTCAGCATTGAATATTGTTATTTAAAAATTATTTTCCATACAAAACTACACTGTAGGGAATTCTCTGATGCGGGTTTTGAAACCGGAGTCCTTGATTTCCAGGGGTTTGTAAGCACTGACATTGTAGGAAATTAATGAGTTAGCTAGTCCCTAACTTTTATCGGATGCTCAGGGGTCCCTGAATGAATGGATTAAATTGAGGCTCATTCTTAATTATAACGTGCCCCGAGCCGTGATCAGAATGAAGTCCGAGGGGGTTGTGTCCTTCGTGCGGTGGCGCGGAGGGCAGTTATGGCCCCTCCTTCGAGGGAGCACTTCTCCGGAGGGCGTTACGCCCTTCCCTCTGTGACGTTTGGCAATGCCTGGAGACATTTATGGGTGTCACAATGGTGGTGGGCGGTTGCTACTGGCATCTAGAGGGTAGAGACCAGGGAGGCTGTTCAACTCCCAGGTGCCCAGGACCTCCCCACCCCAGAGAACAAACCAGCCCCAGATGGCAACAGTGTGCCGCATCAGAAAATAGGGCAGCCCCGGACAGGGGTTAAAGTTACTAGTGTGTGGTTCCCTGCCACCGCACACAAGAAGGGCCTCCTGCCAGGATAGATGCTGTGGGTTTGTACAGGAGACCAGCGAAGGACCGTGTAATTATGGGAGGGGGGCAGGGGGGTCTTAACCCACTAGAGGCCGATAGCACCCTCATCGCCGTTATGACAACTAGAAACATCTCCAGTGTCCTCTGGGGTGAGGAGGAGTGGGGCGCAGAATCCTCCCCCACCCCTAACCCAAGCTGAGAAATGCTCACCCAGACCTATTCTAAGTGCGACGATCCAGGACCCTTTTGGGAGTCTCTAGTCTGTTGAGCAGCATCCTGGCCTCCACCCACTAGATGCCCTACCCCCAGCTGTGACACCCAAAAACCTTCTCCAGAAACTGCCAAGCGTCCCCTGGGGGGCACAGTCACCACAGGTGAGCACCCCCACCCTAGACCTCCACGCTGCTTTCCCAACACCTAGGTCCCCTCCAGGGTGACACCCCATTTCCAATGCTCTGTGCGCAGGTGCCCGCGGGCCTCCGGGGCCAGGCCCTCCTGAAGGTGTGGGGCCGGAGCCGGCAGGAAGAGGAGGGCGCCCTCTTCCACAACCAGACCTCCGTGACCGTGGACGCCCGGGGAGCCTCCGTGTTCATCCAGACCGACAAGCCGGTGTACCGGCCCCAGCACCGAGGTGGGCGCCGGTGCGGGCGGGGGAGGGGCCGGCCGTGGCCTGGAGCTGCTACACGCCTCTCTCCTTCCTCCCAGTGCTCATCAGCGTCTTCACCGTCACCCCAGACCTGAGGCCCATCAGTGAGAAGGTGAGAGTTGCTTCTAAACCCTGTGCCCAGAACACACACCCCTGAGACACCCTGGCCAGGGGCACCTTCAGCAACTGGCCTTTCTCCTCTGTCCTCTTTCAGTTTTTACCTCCCATTTTGGTCCCTCCCTGGGCCTCCACTTCTCCTGGGAGGCCCGGGGGAGGTCTGTGGGACAGAAGGAACGCTGGTGGGGCCCTCGCTGGTTTGGCTCAGTGGATAGAGCATCGGCCTGTGGATTGAAGGGTCCCAGGTTCAATTCCAGTTAAGGGCATGTGCCTGGGTTGTGGGCTCGATCCCAAGTGGGGGTGTGTGGGAGGCAGCTGATCGATGATTCTCTCTCATCATTGATGTTTCTAGCTCTCCCTTTCCCTTCCTCTCTGAAAACAATAAAAATATATATTTTTTAAAAAATGGTAGGTGCCCCATAAGGGAGCACTGTGGTCCAGGCAGTGGCCAGTGCCCTCTGCACAGGCTTACAAAGGAGTTAAGTAGCAACGGGTTATCATTTGAAATCCTACTAGCCCTGCTGTTAACATTTATTAAAATAAAATATAACCGCACATCAAACCCATCATTTCTCCTTGGAAATAAACATATTCACAGGAAGAAGGCATTGATTTTCTTTTAACCTTTTATTTGGAAATAACTTCAAATGCACAGAAAAGTTGGAAGAACAGCACAGAGAAATCCCATGTGCCCTTTATTCAGCCCAGGGATGGGCAAACTTTCTTTAAAGGGCCGGGTGGTAAATATGTTCGTGTCTGTGGGCCAGAAGGATTCTGTCTCAATTACTCAGATCTGCTGTTGTTGCATAGACTCAGTCAGAGACATACTGGTATGTGAATAAATGGGTGTGGCTGGGTGCCAATAAAGCTTTATTTACACAAACAAATAGAGGGCCAGATTTGGCCTGATCTGGAGCAGTGGTTCTCAAATTTGAGTGTGCGTCTGATTGCTCTTGGGGGCTTGCTCAAACAGGTTGCTGAGCCCTCCCTAGAGTTATTAACTCAGTTATTGATTCCCTGATTTCTAGGGAGGTGCCCACGAATCTGTGTTTCTAACAGGTTCCCAGTTGATGCTGTTGCTGGACGAGGGAACACACTTTGAGAACCACAGATCTAGATTCACCAGTTACAAACATTTTGCTACATTTATGTGCTTTCTCTCTCTCTCTGTATATATACCTATATACATATGCACTTATAAGATTATTTTAATGATAAGTTATATTTTAATGATAAATTATATTGGTGTGTCTGGTTGCTGGTGATGGTAAGTGCAGCTAGTGGTTTAAGTAGAGTTTGCCCTGTTGCTCCCACCAAAAGTCTGTCTTTCCCCTTTGTGGTCAATAAGTAGTCGGTGGGGACCCGAGGTTCTTTGTATACCCGATTACCCATCAGACGCTCACTACCAGTTCTAGCTTCCAGCTGCCTCTGGGCTCAGCTGGGGCACATGCGGGCACACAGGCAGCCCTGAGCTAACGGGGTCGGCCACACACAGGCATCAGGCAAGGCACGCGGCCGAGGTCAGGAACACAGCGGTGCAAGCCACGACCTCCCCCGGTGAGTTCTTCATCGTGGTCAGAGTTGGTGTCGACTGTTGGGTTTGATATGGCTGAGCACCAGTTTGCCGCCAGGCTCCAGGCAGGTGTTTGGGGGTTCAGACATGAAAGCACCTGTTTCGGGAGGGCTGCCTGGAGGAGCCGTCCCTGGTTAGGGGCAGAAGAAAGTCTGGGAAGGAAGGCAGGACCATGATGGGAAGCAGGGAGCACAGAGACCAGAGACAGGGCGTGGCCATGCCACCCTCACTGCTAATGGCAACTGTGTGAGTTTGCTAGGGCTGCTGTGACGAAGTGCTGTAAGCTAAGTGGCTTACTCAACTCAAGTAAATTCTCTCCCTGTTCTGGAGGCTGGGAGTCCAAGAGCAAGGTGTTGGCAGGGTTGGTTTCTCTTCCTTGTCCTCCTTCTTATAACATGTTTTTATTGATTTTCAGAGAGAGAGGGAGGGAGAGCGATAGAGAGATAGAAACATCAAGGAGCTCATCGATCAGCTGCCTCCTGCACTCCCCCTACTGGGGATCAAGCCCGAAACCTGGGCATGGATTCTGATCTGACCGGGAATTGAACCAGTGACCTCTTGGTTCCTGGGGTCGATGCTCAACTGCTGAGCCACATCCGGGCAGGGTAAACCACCCTTTCTTATAAGGACACCATCCTATTTGATTAGGCCCTATGCTAATGACCTCATCTTAAGTGGATTATCTCTATAAAGTACCATCTCCAAATCATTCTGAGGAGCTAGAGCAGTGGTTCTCAACCTGTGGGTCGAGACCCTTTGGGGGTCGAACGACCCTTTCACAGGGGTCGCCTAAATACATCCTGCATATCAGATATTTACATTACGATTCATAACAGTAGCAAAATTACAGTTATGAAGTAGCAACGAAAATAATTTTATGGTTGGGGGTCATCACAACATGAGGAACTGTATTAAAGGGTCGTGGCATTAGGAAGGTTGAGAACCACTGAACTAGAGGCTATGATGTCAACCTATGAATTTGGTGGGGTGAGGAGGCACAAATTCAACTCATAACAGCAACTGTGGGTGTCCCAAGGGACTAGGCCCTGCGTGGACGAAGACGAAACGTGCACGGAGGGCTGGGGGTTTCGGGAGGGGGTAGCTCACTGCCTCTGTCTGTGTTGCAGCTGGAAGCCTACATCCTGGTGAGTGGCCTGCCCTGCCCAGCTTGACTCTCGCCTGGTTAGCCTACTCTCAGCAAGGCCTGGTCCGTCTTCGCCCACTGCCTGCCCACCGCTCCCCGCCTGCCCATCCTGGTCCCCGGGTCCACTGTGGGGCAGCCCAACGTGTGTCTGCCTGTCTCTTTGTAGATTGCACCCAGAGTCCTAATGTCGCCCCTGAATGGCGAGGCAGGCCCAGCCCGCCCCCTGCACCCCCTTGTCCTCAGAAAGGTCCTGTCTATATCCCTCGCTCTTTCTGGTTCGCTCCCGTATAAACGGCTAATATGGGGCCTGCCCCTCATGCTTGTCCTGCCCTGGAGAGAGGGCTCAGAAGGGCCACACAAACGCCGGGCACATGCCAGCTGCCTGAGTTCACTGTGTGTCCCCACAGGACCCCCGGGGGTCAAGGATGATGGAGTGGAGGCACGTGGAACCAGTCTGCTGTGGTAATTGTCCCCCCCCATCTTCTCCCCTTCTTCCTTCTGGCTTTGGGGCTGCACCTCCGGGGGGCAGGTGCGAGAATCCTTCAGGGAAACAGAATGTGGGCTGTCCGGGACCCTCGCTTATGTTCCTCTGTGCCCGGGATCCAGCGGGCACACCTGCCCGTACAGGGGGCCTTTCTGGAACATCGGGGCCTCATTGGTCAGCACCCCAACCTTCCTCCTACTGAAGGTCTTCCACACCATCACCCCCCACCCAGCTCCCATCCAGCACCCACCCAGCTCCCACCCAGCTCCCACCCACACCCACCCAGCATCCAC